CAAAAATTCACAAACTGTTCATATAATTATAAGATATATAATATATTATTATATAATAAGAGATAATAAGAAATATCTTTTTTGGTTGAATAATAATTAAAACAATACAGTCTTTTATTTGATAGATAGATAGATAGATTCTCACTTTCAACATTATTTCTCATATTCACTAGTACAATAATAGAAAAGCCATCCATAATTGATGAACATATGTCATATCTAAATGAATGAATTTTTACGAAATATCATTTAAATAAGAATGAATAAAGAAAAAAAGAAAAGAGGAAAGAAAAGAAAAGAAAAGAGAGATCAAAAACAGCAAAAAGCAAAACAAAACGATACATTAAACTGGATTTATAACTGCTTCCTTTACTTATTCGATAAAAGGAAGGAAGGAAAGAAGGGATACTCAATGGTCAATGAAATGCTGGCAAATCTATACAGTATTAATGGTAGTAATAATAATAATAATAATAATTACTATGACATATGATTTTTCCTAATGAATTACAATTTAGGAATGATTTAATTTAATTCATTTAGAAAAAAAAAGGAGAAAAGTAACAACCCACCACCCTATGAGTTTCAGTTTATTAGAAGAAAAGAAACTATGTGTCATTCTCCCCCCACTCACCCACACCTCGACCACACCACCCTTTTATTATTATTTTCCTTTTTCAGAAATAAAACTATTTTCTTTTTTTTTAATTTATTATTTTATTAGTTTTTTTCTTCTCTTTTCTTATTTTATATTATTTTCTTGATAGATATATCCATCTGTTCAGGCATTTTTTATATCCCTTTAACTGATTAAAATAGATTGGCTAGTGTGTGTTTATTATTTACCACGTGGTTAAGGGTTCATTGGTATTTTGTTCATTTTAATTGTTCATATAACATAATAGACACACACACACACACACACACACATATATATATATATAAGGAGAGAGGGGGGGAGAGAGGGAGACACGTGCGCACACACACATACACACACATAAAACAAATGGATAAACAGACATACATGGGGTATATATATGTATATATATTTATCTTGTTAAATAGATACAGATTACAAATAAAGATATACCTTGGATCTTACAATTTAATTAAAAAAAGAAACCTATTTGGCAGAATATAAGTAGTAAATGCAAATAAATGATAGAAAATTTATATAAAAGTGAGAATAAATCTCACATATATACATAAATAGATAGATAGATATAGTGGGAGGGGGGGGAGGAACGACTGAATCAGTAATTCCATAATAAATAATAGTAGTAGTAGTACTGGTAAACAAAAGATATTCATATATTATAATGTAATTACCTTTTCCCTTAATATGTCAATTTGAACATCAGTTAATATTATTTAAATCTAAGGGGGGGAGGGGGGAGAGGGAATAAAAGAAATTGTAAAACAAACAGATTGTAAAATTATTTGAAAAAAAAGACACATTGAAGAAAACAATGAGAAGTATATGATTAGATGAACATGCTCTGTGATAAACTATCTTGTAAACATTGTAGTGGCCTTGCTTTTAATTGATTATCTAAATAACTGTTATAATATAAATCTCAATGATGTTTGAAATCAGAAGGCAGGTAATGAGAAGTAGCAACTACAGTGTATTAGGGGATAACGCAGATTTTCCGATGGTGAAGAAGATTTATGGCTCAGATGGATCATTTCGATGGAGTTTTGTTCTTTGAGGTAGAAGTCTACCTGAAGTTTGTGTTATAACTTGTAGTCTGAATGCCCTGTTAATGTATAATGTAACGATACCACCAATTAGAGAACAGTGAATTATCGATCGGACCAATGACGCCGAGAACCCGTGCGAGCAGTCTAGAGTGCTTATCGGTCCTGCTTTCTGCCTAACCCAGCCGGCTAAGTCCAGAACACCAATCTCAGCCTCTGTGATACAAATCATTTATTTCAAACATACTTGGATTATGTGCCAAACACACGGACCACATCGTACCATTGGTACGATAGCATAATTCAAGAATGGTAAATCGTATAATAATAGCTGATAGATCAAAATAAAGCTCATAATAAGAGGAACACGAATATGAATAGTTTAGTTATTTAACCATATTTAATTATTTAATTATATGATAAAAAATATACACATAGTACTGGTCCATAAATGGATCTCAGAAGTTACCATTCATTATGCTTATCGGAGGACAACAGTTTGTATTGATGATGTCGTTCAGAAGAACGATGAAAGCTCCACGACAAAACCATACAGCTGAGAGAGCACAACTCCATCAAAACAACGCTGGTCACAAAGCTATAAGCATATCAAGCGAATTTGAAGCAGAGAGGCGAATATGTATATGAGAGCAATTACACAGGCAAATTTATAATCAAATTGCATAAGGGCGTAACAACGCAAAGCAAGGACTAGTAATAGGATTTGAATACATATATACATGGGGGGTTGTGTGTGTGGATAAATCATCGAGTGATATTTAAGCGATCAACATTTTGGCTAGAGTCCGTTATGTGATCTAGTGATTATAACGGTACAACTTTAAACACTTCACCAAGTTATATGACGTAGTTGAATATATATGGTGATCTATGACGATTATGTTAATACTTTTATTTATAACTCAATGGTTGTCATCATCAGTATCCTCTGGGTGTCTTATATTACCAGAATTTGTAACAATCAATTTATTCTATTGTATATTATGTAGTCTATTATAAGAAAAGTTGGAGTCAGTAGACAGTATACAAAATAAATAGTATAGAAAAACCTTTAAAATTCATATGAGTGACCGTATGAGAAAATACTTCCTTGTACTCCATATTGAGGAGGTGAAATGATTCATTGAAGTGATAATATTCATTTTTTTTATACAAAACATGTATGAGTGATTATTATGCGCCCATTTGAACATTCATCATAAATTCTGCAATTGAAGAATATATGGAACTAAAAACAACTGCCAACCAATATCAAAGTCAGATTCTTCAATAAGAACATTAAGACAGTCCTACTGTATTGCGTGAAACATGGAAAACTACTATGACCATCATCAAAAAGGTACATATATTTATAAACAGTTGTCTACGCAAGATACTCAATGTTTGTTGACTGGAAATCATCAGCAACAGACTATTGTGGGAGTGAATAAACACGCTTCCAGTTGAAGAGGAAAGTATGAAAAGACGTTGTAAGTGGACAGGACATATACTACGGAAATCACCAAACTGCATCACGACATAAGCGCTAAATTGGAATCCCGAAGGGAAGCAGAAAAGAGGAAGTGCAAAGAATACGTCACGTCGGGAAATAGAAGCAGATATGAAAAAGATGAATAGCAACTGGAAAGAACTGGAAAGGACTGCCCATAACAGAGTTGGATGGAGAATGCTAGTGAGCGGCCAATGCTCCTCCATGAGCGGTAAGTAATGAGTAGAAAGCTGCTATTATACCAATAACCTACCAAGTTAGACATCGATTAGCAAACAGGAAGCACTGATAACTAATAAGCATAATGATTATTTAATATAAATACACATTACTTAATTGAAATACCGAAAATAGTGCTTGTAGAAAATAACAATCAGTGTACACTTAATCGATTCATAAGAATCTGAAAATCATAAAATCAAATGAATGTCTATGTCTTTATGTTTGTGTATATGAGGGAAATAGATCCAAATAAAAGAAAGAAGAAAGAAAGCAAGTAGACAATCTATTCAATATAACCATGTGGCCATGAGAAGTCATGCATAACTTTCATTCAAAGTAACACTTCTTATATATTTCATTCGGTAATATTCAAAAACATCGATGGATGAATGAATGAATGAAATGTTGATAAAATGGAACAGTGTAGTGTAGTGGTTTAGTTTACACGATCAGATCTGATTACTGGTTAGTTGGAATTTCCAGTAATGATCAAAGTAGGAGTTGGAGAGAAAGAGTGAGAGGTAAAGAGAAACAATGTCATCACTCATATTCATGAATAATTGTAATAATGATAGTCATATTAATAATAATGGTGATAATAATGGTGATAATAATAATAATAACAGCAGTATAAACAAGAAATTCAATAAAGCAAACAGACATGAATGCGTGAAACAAATGAAGAAATGTTGGATAATGGAATAATGTTCCATCTGTTACACAATTTCTGCTCATTATTCGTACATCGTGTGAATTACTGATTTGGCCTCGAGGGGTTTCGAATCAATAATATTGTAATTAAAATAAGCAAGTTGTCTGTCGATCATCACAGTGATCTTGAGATCACAATTTCCTTGATATTCGTACGTGTGTGTGTGAGGGGTTGTGGTGGTGGTGGTGGTGATGGTGGATATAGTGGATTGACTTTACTGAGCAATGTGTACACTGATTTGCATGTACGTGTGATCAAGTGAAGTCTGATGAGTTGAATGTGATGCATAGAGTACAGAAGATCACAATTACTTCCCTCCATATGTTCAATAGAACAATTTGATTGTTCATTGAACACACACACACTCACATTCAATTAGTTCCTCTAACTCCTACTTCCACACCTCCCCCCTACCCTCCTACTCACTCACACACACTCTCACTCTCTTCTAATTTGCTTCCCTGTCTCCACCCTGAAAACATTCTGCTGATTAATTAAATTCATCCACACAGTCAATATGCATAATGGTGAACAATAAATGAGAATATGTTGACAGATGGATCGTGTAAATGATATTTACTGTAGAAATGTACATAGAATGATTTCAATGAGATGGGATATCATCAGGAAGTGTAATTCATTTGAAACTTGATAGAATAGAATGCACAAAGAGAGTACAAAGTGATGGATGGAATCTGACTTAAAGAGAACTGCAAACTGTATTCATATGAAATGTGATTGTTTGATTATGGGAGAACATCTAGTTATTGGATATGCATAATACTTGCATGTACACACGCGACTGACAGTTGTGAGATAATATCTTGCTTCGAGTTATATTTTGTCAAGTGAATAATGGATGTGAGAATAAATGTATTCGTGGAATTACAAGAACATCATCAGAGGAAATTGATTTCCAGAGTAAAGTACAAATATGATTTGAAGAAGCATGATGATGATGATGATGATGATGATGATGATGATGATGATGATGCATTTGGTGTTAGTAGAATGTGTGTTATTGATAGAAGAGTGAGTAGCAGTGTTATGAATAGTAGTATTGATAGTAGTGTGAATAGTATGAGTAGTAGTAATGGTAGTGTCAGCTGTGTGCATATACTATTAGTAGCTTCACACTGTAAAACAGGTCGACGTGGATTCGACTACACTTGGGAGCAGTAGATAACTGTGGATTTCATGTATCATATTGACGATTTCTCCAATGTGATCGTTAATCAATTTACAGATCCATAACACACATGTGTTGTTTAGTTGAGCCAAGTTGTTGCACAAGTCATTGTAGGTGGTTGTAATGTGGAGTGAAATTAGTTTTTGGACGGAATACCCATAGAATTTCGATTGGTCCTAACAAGTATCTCCAAGTTGATTTAGCACAACATTAAGTCTACTTTCAAAGATGTAACTTGTTATTGTAATTGAGTTGAGAAAATACAACTAATCGAGATGATGTAACATGTCTGATTCACTCTCCTTATGAAAGATAATCAACAACACTTGTCAGTAATGATAACAATAATAATAATAATAATCGTAATGGAGATACTGATTCCCATTGCTTTATTATTGCAATCATGTCATGTCGACGTACGTAATAATGTTGATTGAATTTCAAACTGAACGAATCATCATTTGCACAATGATATTTCAATGTATGTGCGTCTGTGTGATTGTGTCTGTGGAACGATTTTGAAAGGGAGAATACTTAGTTCAAACACAACGAGGCATGTACACATGGTGAAGTTTGCTCATTTCCATTCTTACTATTACTATTGTCATTATTTTATTCGTATGAGTACTATGATTATCATTGCCCATCAATAATGCTAATCAAATTGATTGTAATTGTTGGCATGACACATGTTATGTAACTAACTGACAAGTTAAATGATGATATTGGCAACTAACTAACCATTGTTCAACCTAATATCATGGATAAATACTTTAGTGTATATTGTGATGAATCAGTGAGTAACCTGTTTCACTGATCTCTATTCTAGTCACAAGCCTAGTAAATCATTACTCCTACAATATTGTGGTGTTGTGTTGTGTATATTTGGATTGTGTGTGGGGTGAGGTGGGTGTTGGATCGAGTGAGTTGTATGTGTGAGTGAGTGAGTGTGAGTGTACGTGAATGTTTTTGTTAGGGAAGTTGATTGAATTAGCATAATTTACTAATCCACATAGTTGATTAACATGAGATTTGATCGGATTGAATTGAGTTGTGTAGTATGAGATGGATGGTGTGAGGAGGGAGATGTTATGATGATGAGATGATGATCTGATCTCTAACTTGTTTGTTTTTTGTGTATAAACTAGTTGTATTCCTTTTATTTCTACCTTATTTATTATTCAGTTGACCCTCCAACACCATTTATCTCGTTCACTGGATACAAAAATGTGGGTGCAGCTGAACATGTGTTATTACTTGTCAATGGGAAATAAGTCAATATTGAAAGTCAATAATTGATATTTGATGATATTTGTACAATGTACAATGTATGAATTGGTCGTAAGAAGAAGAATTATTGTCGATACAACAACATTGAACAAGACTTCATTGATATAAACTACCATGCAAATAATTGATGAATGTTTCTTAGTGTAGCGATCATTCACTGTGGAATCTGTGGTGACTGTTTCCAGAGTTGATCTTAGTTCGACTATCTACAATACGAGGTATGTAAGACATTTCACGTCGACTATATAGAAATTTGTTAGTCGGCGTGTCCGTTTGAGAGGTTTGTCGTTTGCAACCACAACCACAATCACACTAATACTGGACTCACACATATGTTTCCCTCCATACACTATTTGTCGAAAATATAACACCACAACGAATGATAACAGTTGGTTCATCTGTCCCTAATTCACATAAGCTCATGATGTGTTAATTCACTCCAGTAAACACTGCATTTTCTACAGTACTCTTCTCAGAGCATTCATTATCTGATCGATCGGTTCATGTCAACTGAATAAATCACTCTTTCAATCTACCAGTATCCCCAATGCATACCTCCTTGTCTTATAGTTGCGTAATGACGTGTAATGGTGAGAAAGGGAATTGGATTAGTTTTCAAAGAAGTTAGTCAAAGTCAACTTGTCAACTTTATATTACTGTATTCGATTCATAGATAACTGTATGAATGAAAATATTCGATTTATGTAGATTCTATTGAGTAGTATATGAGTGATTAGACTTGTAATTGGACTTGTGACTTTGACTGAACATATGTGCAATTTCCCATTAATATCTCATTAATGTCTCACAATGGAATTCTCATATCAATGTGTCAGTGTCTGTCACTGTGTTTTTTGTGTGTGTATGTGTGTATGTATGTGTGAGTGAGTGAGTTTCAGAGGGGATGTATAACAAGTGAGGGTGAAAATTCAGCTCAATTATTTATTATTCGAATCAAATACACCGACTAGACTAGATGTGATTATCTTAAAATGACCATCTGGTTAGTCCTACATTCACATTATCCTTTCCTCTTCTATCCTACCCATCACTCCTCCCTACTTCGTCACTCACTCATTCACTCACTCACTCATACTGAGTCAGTAGTCAGATAAGTCGAAGTGACCACGATCACACTCTCTACGCATGCAATATAATGATAATGGAAACTGTTAGCCGAACTCACATTCTCATGCTTAGAATTACTTACACAATTATCAGTGAGAATGTGAAACTTGTGATTGACTACGCATATGAGTTTGACTAGTATGATTGTTGTTACCCCTGTTTATGCCACATTTCTACTCCTCCTCCTCATCCTGCTCTTTATTCTATCATCGACATTCTCTACAACTACATGCATTCCTGATGAATAATCGATAATCAATTGACTTTCTTAATAAAGTGTGAATGTCAATGCGAATCAATAGGGATAGTGTGCTTCTATGTTTGTTCACATGTACTGAACACAACTAGTCACAGACAATAAAATTGTAATGATAATAGCAACACTAAACTTATCAGGATGAACTGATTTAATGCATTTGTAATAATTATGATGTGGTTGCCATATGAATTAGAAGTTAGTGGTGGTGGTGGTGGTGGTGATGGTGTGGATGAGAATGATAATGCGAGTGTTGACGCTAAACAATCTCATTCAAAAAAGTCATCATACCGACGAATGGCATTATTATTATTATTATCGTTATTATTACTGTAATTGTCGATGGTAATCTGATAGAAGTTGAAAATTCGATAACCAAACGATCAACGTGATATTCATCTTCACAGTTAGACAAATAAATCTCAGTTCACTCTTTGCATGAAACAAACAAGAAACAGAGTCACTGAATTCCTACACATACCCATTCACACATTCACACAACCACACAGAACGTCGAACATTGACCACACAACACATGCATAATCTCTCTCTTAATATCACAGAATAAACATTGGAATTATTGTTTTTATGATGATTAAAGATAAACACCTAGACGAGGGAAATAACAGTGATTCATTTGAATAAACATTTGACCAGTGTGATGGAGTATGAGATTAAGAATTTCGATTGACAAGTGAAGGATTCATTTTGTTTGTATTGCTGAGTGACGAGTCAAGTCTGTTAACGTGAACATGAACATATGAACTGATCGAAATGTGATGTGAGATTGGTGTGATTGACGAATTCGGAGAGTGGTATTTGGAATATGTAGAAGAGTTGGCTGATTGGTTTGTGATGGGAATCAGTGTGTGAAGACGATTTCCATTTTAGTATTGCAGCATCTTGGAGAATAATGTTCCTTGAGAAATGTTCAACTTTTGTTTATTCTGTTGATCGGAGTGCAAAAGTGGATCGAGTGGATGAATTCGAATTGCATTCAAAATACGAAACATTTTTCTTCGGACACTCTAGATAAACGTGATATCACGAGTATGACAATGTTGTTTCCAGAGAGGAAGTTAAACTGTTTGTTATCTAGAACGAATGGAGATCCATTCCGTTGACATAAACTCGAATGTCACATCAGGTCGAATCTACTTCATGTGTTGAAATCTCAATCACAATATGATCTTTAATATGGTCTACCAACCAATGCTACATTAGTTTGTACATCAAAGAATGAAGTGATCACACTTTGAATGTTTGATTGAATCGCGTGATAATTTGTTGGGTTGGTTGGCATCTACACAGTTGATTCATCACACATTGTCTTTATTAGTTTTCAGCACATACAAGTGAATTACTTTAATATCACTCAGTTACTGAATTAAACTGCCAATGTTTTCTGACACACTTACCTTCAATTTATACTCCAGTGATTGGTGTTAGTTTGTTGTGTTTGGGAAAAGCATGACTGATCATTGTCTGGTTCATCAGAACAACAGTCATATCGTTTTATTCCACTAGGGAAGGTTCAAACTGTCTGTCGAGATTTGTGTACTGGATTTCCTAATTTCCATTTAATCAATGAATGTGCGATGTGAGAATATGTAATTACATGTAGTGTACGCTACAATGCATATTCGCCAATGTTTTCGAACCTGTGGTTTCAGTAAACATGTGTAAACATAAATTCTATCTAGGTGTGAATCACAGTTCGCTCATTATTATTATCACCAATGCTATACTAGTACTTCTCCTCCCCTGTCTACGATGACCACTAGTGTAGTGGACGAACAGTCAGGTGGGAGCAATCGACCAATCGATTCATACAATATTATAGAATTTCTTGGCAAAATATAAGAACCACACATTAAATATGTCTATCGGCATAAGTAGCATGCATCACAGTATTCCTATTACCACTACGACTACCATGGGAATGAGTAACAATTAGAGTTCACCTCATCTATTTCTCTTCTCTGATGACAGTAATGTTTGACGAAATCAAATGTACAAGGTATCTTTGCAACTATAGTTTTACATTTAGTCTTTCATATCAACACAATCGCCAAGTTCACACGTGTGATTCACAAATTTGTCCATTCAACAAATGTATCATGTATGATAGATATTCTGTGTGAATGAACCACCCACAATCACTTCAATGAACGATGGAACACATTCGACAATCTGATTTTCTTTTTGTTAATAATCCAGTTAATAATTTTTCTCTTTTCTGTTGTCTATAAACAACGGTTACAATGAGAAGAGTGAGAATAACAATGACAGAATTTCTACTTGTTCAGTGTCAGTGTG